TATATATAATATTAGCTTTTTCCCTACAAGGAAGCATTTGTGATTCATGACTGATTCATGACATTCAGTTGAAATTTATAAAATCATTCTCTTTAAATGATTTTTCAAGAAAATAGGTTTCTCACGTCCAGTAGCTGTTATCACTCTTTCCAATACTGATGGAGGTTTCCTTTCTAATAAGTAGTGAGGAATTTTAACATCTTGATTATACCATTATTTTCTTTTTGACTTACATGTGCTATCCATTTTAGTTGTTGCTGCTGTTGGTAGTCCTCAAGTGATGTAGTTTCTGTTATTTGGTACAGTTCATTGTGATTCTGTAGCCCCAGCCCACAATGTTCTAATAAAGTGGTTACATACAGCTGACAGTTTAAATATTTCTGAATAGGCTTGCTGCCATGCTTGACATCCATAAGAAAGTATTGATCTGACAAGGCTGTTTAAAAACATAACTTGCCTTTTCAGGTAAAAGTTTTTTTTGTTTTTTTTTTTTTGTAGTAATTTGCGATGTTGAGTGAAACTGACTCTGGTGTATCCTATTCTATGTTCGATTTCCTTTTCTCCTATATTTAATTTGTTATAACTAATCCCATACAACAAGGTGTCTGGTGTGTTTAGTATTTAGTAATTCCACATCATGAAATTTTATGATGGATTCAGGGTATGAATCAGGGTTTTCTGCTTTTACTCTAATTCCAGATCATAATTTCTGTTTTGGAACACCAAACTGGGTCATGAAGAGCTGACTTTCATAAATTTATATTAATAATGTCCATTAATATTTTCACTATGATGGATCCAATTGAGATACTTATGTATATATATATGTATATATGTAAATATATATATGTGTGAGGGTCTTGAAGGCTACCTTTCTGTTTCCCTAATGCATTAATGTATGATGACCACCACTTTTTAGGGATACATTTCTGATTCCAGATTTGTTTTTCATAAAATAGAGAAACTTGTTATTGAATTCAGAGAAAATGCAAGCTTTTTTTTGAAAGTTCAGGCTCAATGTCAAGTGATGTTTTGTTATTCCTTAGTTTTTTAATAGCTTTCTCAATTTCCTCATCAGTTTGTTCATTATTGTTTATTCTATTTCTGTGGACATCTTGAGTTTAATGTGGTCAGGGTTGAAATGTGATTCAAAATGTTTTCTTAGACCAGGACATTTCTTTTGTGTAGTTTTTGATTTTGTGTTTTTTCACTTTTCTCCACATTTTAACACATTATCTATGCTTCTTTGTTTCATTAATTTAATTTCCAGTTTTCCGAAGATATTGTTTTCTCAAAAAATTAACTAGATTTTTAATTTTCTTTGTTAATTGTTTGGTATTTTTTACCCATATTTTTCCTTTTCTGTTTATTTCTTGTATGTATGAATTTTTTCAATTCAGACTTGTTGTCCAATGGATGTATCTTTTCCCTGTAGATATTCTCATGGGTTTTATCTAATGATGATTTGATTCCTCTATGGTTGGATCAAGTCTTACTGACATCAATTTGGACTCTAATTTGTTACTGAATTCTAAATTTACCGTTTCATTTTTAAGGGCTTGAATGTTATACCTTAATGTTTTTCTTAGATTATATGGAAGGAATTGAGCTATTTTGTTGGCTGGTGTTGCTAGTTTAGTTTGTTGGAGATTCACTCACATCATATCATCAGAAATTAGCCTTGTGTTCACAGAGATAAAAGCATACTTGACCAGAAATAAATATATATATATATATATATATATATATATATATATATATATATTTGTGTATTTAGGTAGCAATTCTTCTTTCATGCACATTTCATTGAATATGACAAACAAGGTGCTTTTATTTAGTTTTTTATACAATTTCTCATGCAATCTACTAATTTTTTTCTTTTCCAATGATAAATTATATAAAAACCATCCGAATATTCTTTTTATCTGAGCACTTTCAGCTATACATTTAGCCATTTTCAAGGATTAAATATCTTAACTGTTAAATAAGAAATAGTTTGTTGCATGTCTGTTTTATAAAATGTTTTTCATTTTTTAAAACACAGTCAAGATATTGTGTCATTGTTCATAGTTGATATTATTAAGTGTTGGATTTTTAAATAAAAGCATCTTGTCTGTTGTATTCAATGAAATGCGTATATATATATATATATATATATATATATATATATATATATATATATATATATATGAATGAACTGTGATCAAATAAATATCAGAATTCAACAGAATGATAAGATGTTACCTATTTGTTCTTTATCTTATCATAATAATATATATATATATATATATATATATATATATATATATCAGTCACTTATATGACATGTGTGATACACACTTAGGCGATCATATATCTTTTGATACATGGTTGGCAAGCTAGATTTTTTCCCACACTGCAGTAGACCACTTGCCATCCAAGGCTATAGAACCCGGTCTATCCTGCTATTTACCCCATAGCTGGCAGGAGATGAACAGAATTTATACCTTTCCCAAGGGTATTAGCACGTAAGTGAAATGTAATGGATTCGACTGGAATATAGATAGATAGATAGATAGATAGATAGATAGATAGATAGATAGATAGATAGACTTGGTGTAACAGCAAAATTGTCCAAATCGTGTAACAGCAAAATTTTTTAATTGTCGGTAGATTAAACTTGGAACCATTGTATCTTAGAAATGATTAAAGATATCTCATTGGAATTCTTCAAGTTTTTTATAACACTAATGGATTCTACTTTAAGTAATAAGAATGTATAATTACTCTCCAAGCTTAATAAAAGCATCGTGATGAAATTGATCATAAATGAAAATGGCATGTTCATCATTAATTAATCATAGATAAGGATCTGAAGCTCATGAAGGATTGAAATAAAGTTCTATATATATATATATATATATATATATATATATTATTCCGGGATCATTTTCCAGCTCTTCACTCTCCTTAACCCTCTAAATTTCTCTCATAGAGTAACAAGGTATCTTATACATTTCATGTGCAATTTCATTTTCAAGTCATTTTTCACTACTCTTTGGACTGTCATAGGTGAAACTCCTCTCCAACATGCCAAGTGTCATATGGATTGAGTCGGATCTTTTCTAATTGATCTCGTTAGCTTAAGTTGAAATGATGACCCCTCTTCCTGTTGTGACCTCCTGATCCAGTTTTCCTTTCTTCTGTTCCCCCTTTTTTAAACGTATTCAGTATCCTCTTCATGATTCTTGAATGAACTTTGAAGATGGAAGCCACAGTATGAATGTTGGTACCATTACTGAAAGCCTGAATGATCCTTTTCCTCTCACCATTGCTCAGTTGGGAAGATATATTGTTCTCTTTCTAGCTGAATAACTCAAAGGGTTTTTCAGTGATTCTTATAACAAATAATATCAAGATGGCTAAACATCTTATCTGAAAACCTGGAAAAAAGAAACTCAATTAGTTTGGCAGTTTTTTAAATATTAAACATTTTGTGGAATGGGCAATTATTCTATACTGTTACATGATTTGGACAATTTTGCTGTTACACCCTGTATATATTTGTGTGTATATGTGTGTGTGTTTGTATGTACAGTGGCTTCTATAAGTATTCACCTCAAACTTTTCCATATTTTACCATATTACCACCATAAATTTAAACGTCTTTTATTGGGATTATATTTAATGGCCCACCCCAAAATAGTGCATCATTTTGAAGTGAAGGAAAATATTACATGGTTTTTCAAAATTATTTCAAATCATAGTATGAAAAGTGTTGAGTGCATATGTATTCACCCTCTTTTTCCTTGAGATTCCTAAATAAAATCCAGTGCAACCAATTGCTTTCAGAAATCACTTAATTACTAAATTATGATCATGATGTTTTCTTTTGAATAAAATAAAATACTATTAAGGCATGGTGGAGTAATGGATAGTGGCTTGGATTGAGGAATTGGTGAGTCAAGTTCAAATTCCAGTTGAATCCATTATATTCACTAACACCCTTGGGAAAGGTATAAATCGTTTTCTTCTCCCTCCAGCTAAGGGTAAATAGCATGACAGACCATTTTCTATAGCCTTGGATGGCAACTGGTCTCGTGCAGAAAGAAATGGCAACCTACTGCGGGAAAAATCTGCCTTGTCAGTCATGTATCAAAAGATACATTATCGACTTTTGATCAGTTGTGCAAATGTAAGCTAAAGTTATTATTCTTACATTCATACAACACCACACAGTGACCCTCTACCTTGAGTGGCTCTTGGGCCTTGTATTGGGTGAACAATAGAGCAGCCTCTTGCTACTCTATCATTATTTCTATGGCATATGTTCTGACAAGCTAAATTCCTTGGTCCCACCCTTTGAAACTGGGACCCAGCATACCATCTACACAAGGATGGATCATCCACATTCCCTTTTGCATTCTAGTAGTAAGAAATAAATTCCACTCAGACAGCTTCTTCCCAAGAACTGCTGCTTTGAGGAAAAGAAACCCTGACAGGATGTTTTCCCTAATCACTACAATCTTGACCATTTCAAGTTTAGTGTTAACTGTTATCTTTCCTACATAACCTCATGAATTTCACTTCTTGCCTTTTCTTACACTCATACAATACCACGCAGTAACCCCCTACCTTGAGTGGCTCTTAAGCCATGTATTGGGAGAACGTTAATATAAAAATGTATATGTGTGTGGTTGGGAATAGAGCAGTGGATAGTTAGACAATCATGATAAAACAAATAATGAATAATTTCTTATTTTCTTTCAGTTGCTTCCATCTGCCTCTTCTAATTCCAATTTTTCTCTCTTTTTCCCTTTTTCCAGATCATTACTTTTCTCATTTTTGTTTTGCTTATTATTTTTTTAATCAGTTTCACCCCAAGGCTGTAAAGCACTAAAACACAAGGGGTTACTAAGTGTGGAAGAATTAGGAACTGAAACATTAATAATGTGCGAGAAGAGAAAAGAGTAATCAGGATGACAGTAAATAGTGATTGATGCTGCAATTAATTTTTTGCAGATTTGGCTGGAAAGCATGGAGCTGGAAGGGAGTTCCACAAGTGAGAAGTGTGATAAAAGAAACTGTTAGCATAAAAGTTATGGCTACATCGAGCCAGCTTAACTGTAAATTAATAAAATATCAATGCCAGTCTAGTACTGTGCTTAAATTCAAAAAGTCTAGGTACCATAGTGAACAGCTCATATATATATATATATATATATAATTATTTATTTAAAAATATGATTCCAAATTGTGACATAAGAAGTCCCATGTTTCAAAACAAGAGCTGAAAACTTCAATATAAATTTTTGTAAATTTCAGAAACACGTTATTCCAAAAAAGATTTCGCTTGAAGATGGAACAGAGCTTATTTTAACTCAATTTAATTTAAATAATTATATTGAAGTTTTCGGCTCTTGTTTTGAAACATGGGACTTCTTATGTCGCGATTTGGCATCATATTTTAAATAAATAATTATATTTATGCTCTACTTTTTGTATCGAGCACTATTTTTAAAAATAATAACTAAAATACTAAGGGACTTTGGATTATTTACCTAACCAGTTCCTTCCTATTTTCTATATATTTTCACATATATATATATATATATATATATATATATATATATATATATATATATATGTGTGTGTGTGTGTGTGTGTGTGTGTGTGTGTGTGTTTGTACATGAGCTCTTTGCTATGGTACCTAGACTTTTTGAATTTAAGCACAGTACTATATATATGTGTGTGTCTAAAGCATGCCAAATCAAACAGTGGTTTGTCCTGCAGAGAGGGATACACGTTAAAACCCAAATGCAAAAGGAACATTTTCTTTGTAATACACATAACTTGGAAAAACAGGTATCTATTAAAAGAAATGTTTGAATTAATATACATATATATATATATATATTATTTACATTATTCGGACTATTGTCCTCATCTTTATCGCCATATTTATTACAACATTTCGGACGTTGTATGCTCCGGCCTTCTTCAGGTGGTTGGAATGTCGAACTGAACCCTTTATTTCGCTCACTGGGGTAGACTGTTCTAGTTCCACGTGCCATGTTTTGATGGATGTCAGTTATCAGTTATTTCCTGTTAATTTCCCTCTGAAAGTTTTCCACTGCCTTAACCGGGTATTGAACTCACACTCTTTGGGTCCTGTCACTGGATCTAACCAACGCCTTTATAAAAAAATAAAGGGTTCAGTTCGACATTCCAACCACCTGAAGAAGGCCGGAGCGTACAACGTCCGAAATGTTGTAATAAATATGGCGACAAAGATGAGGACAATTATCCGAATAATGTAAATAATACCTCATCTCAGAAATATAGACATATATATATATATATATATATATAGTCAACCACAGACAGGCTGTTTCACAGCTCATCAGCGTGGCTAGATATGCAATTGCTTCAAGCCAGGATTGAAACCTGACCAATTTGACATCAGTCAGAGACTCTCACTCCTAGGCCATGCTAGGAAGAAAGGGAATTTTTAACACATTATATACAGAATATATGCATTACTACCAGAAGGCTCGATTCATAGCAAGGAGCTTAGCATTAGTCAGCAGCAGCCAACAAATTCCCTTTCTTCCAAAAGTGCTCAACCCCTGAAAACATGTTTTATATATATATATATATATATATATATATATATATATATATATATATATATATATATATATATATATATATATGTGTGTGTTTGTGTTTATGTATGTATGTATATATTTATATATGATAAAATATAGTTTTAAGGTATGCTATATTTATAGAGTAAAAGTGGTCAGTATCAGGGATAGAGTGTGTGTAAATATAATAAGTATGGACACTGAGCTTGGTTTTCAAAATATAAAGATTGTGATCAAGCATGAAACAGACTGTTACAACTCGATATTGACCTCAGTGTACACTTTTATATATGTATGTGTGTGTGGGATTTATAATTTTAATTCTATTTCATACATACTCAAGGAAAATATTAGCTTTATAATGAAGTATTTTTTTGTTCCATGATATTTTTTTATATCAAAAACTTCTAAAATTCTGAGTAGTAATTTATTTTTTGTTTATTAAAGTTAACTATTTTATTGCTGCTATTTTTTTCTCAGAGAAATAATATTATGTTATTTTTTCCTATCTTTTAATATCTATACCTCAAGCAGAAATTAAAAATGATGATATCAAAATGAAGAAAATATTTTTTAAATAGAAGTGATTCTGAGAGTTAAAATTTTTCCAGATCACCAATTTTTTTTCTAAGTTGAATGAGTTTATTTTCTTTTTCATTCAAGCAAGCCTTCAAGGTTCTCCTATTTCTTTTCAAAATGGTGATGCCGTTTCATTACTCACCCAAGCATGAACTGTAAAGAATTGATTGCATCAAACTTAACCAAAGATAACAAAAGAAAAAGCCTTAAAGCTTGATGATCATCATCTTAATAATTATCAATATCTCTTAAGAGCAGTTTCCCTGTTTCAACCCAGACACAACTGAAGCTATATTCATAATGTATAATTTTACAGATGAATGCTCCCTCAAACTCAGAATATATCAATTGTGTTTTATCAAATAACTGTTTTATTAATTGTC